TTTCTGAGCTTGGCTGTTTTCTTGCAAATGTTTCAGCACTGAAGATGTTACCTAGCTGGGTAATGAAACGTTTGCTTCCCTTTTTTTGTCCAAATGAAAATATTGGTTAATAGCATGGGGAAAAGCCATGTTATAAACCAACTTCAGAAGTGAATATGTGTAGCTCAGGGTTGAACTGTGGAGTCCTTGGGGTTTTCTGAGCTTGGCTGTTTTCTTGCAAATGTTTCAGCACTGAAGATGTTACCTAGCTGGGTAATGAAACGTTTGCAAGAAAACAGCCAAGCTCAGAGAACCCCAAGGACTCCACATAAACTAACTTCAGATGGGGTTTAATGTAGTTATTCTGAAACTTGCAATTCTCCTTTCCTGGTTTGAATAAAACAGGAAATGCCTTACAGTACTTTTATTACCGAATACAAGAATATGCAACCATTTTGGGACTAAGGGTAGTGCTTGAACTTCGAATGTGGGAGCCACACTTAAAAAAGGGGGGGGGGCAAAAAATAACTCTGATTTAATTTAAATACTCCTAATGTTTTAATTTTGTTTCCCTTCTCCCACATTAACATTTTCAATTAATTGGCAGCTTTGAAAGGGGCTAATTTGGAAGGCTGCATTCAAGCCCGAGGCTAGAAGTTATATTTCTGCTTGATGTGTGCATGCACAAAGGCAGCACACGTGAGTGCTTTTACAGAATTGCAATACCTGTTTTGGGCCACAGGAGAGTTGGCTAATAAAAAGGATGGTGTGTTTGTTGTAGTTAAGTAGTATCTCTGCTTTCTTGCCAGTTTTGGGGGTTGCATGCACTGCTTGAGAATGAGTCTGTTCATATTGCAAAGGGAGCAACGAACTGGCTACATGAATATGTAGAAGGTTCTCGCCTATCTGTTTATACAGTTATCTGAATGTGGGCAACTGGAAGAGAGCCCCCTGGAGGAAGGCCAGGGAAGCTGTTATTGCGCACCCGTGAGTGACTGATGAAAGGTGTTCTACCTGTGGCACAGCCCATGTTGAAATCATCTGAACTTAACTCAAAAATGCTCCCTTGCTAGTTCTAAGTTTGCTTTATATAAAGCTTACGTCTCTTTATGTTCTCGATAATGTCTCTTATGTTCTCAGTAATTCAATAATTATTCAGTCCTGCGTAATTACTAAATGATGATGGTGATACCTTTAACACCATCCAACAACATCTGCCTATCCCAGGTCCTTGGGAAGGACTCGATAGGTGGCCAAATATGCCAGATCCAGTCTAAACAACTGGCTGACTGTGCCACCAATAACAATAATAATAATATATTGCCTTCTTGGGTGTATGTGAATGTAGCTTGGAATTGGCAAACATTCCCAGAGGACGTCTGTCATACATCTATTTAAAATAATTAACTTATCTTTCAACCTAGAAAGTCGCCAGGTGGCTTACAACAGCTGTTAAAATATAATTAAGCACAAAACAGTTATTTAATAATACAGTATAAAAGGAACATGAAAACCACTGTAATGGAATTCGAAGAAAGTAGAGTTGAAGATATGCAAGCTATTTCAAATGAAGATTTTTTGTTGCACTTCGGGGAGATAAGCAAGCCGTTTTTGGAAGAAAATTCCAGAAATATTGAATGTTGCTTTGTGTATTCTGGGCTCCTAGAATATAAACATACGTGCTTCCTACATTTTAGATTCTCTGTGGATGTTATAATATCCAGTTATGACCACCCCCCCACCCCCCACCCCCCAAGTGGGTTCATAAATCACTTCCGCGTTTGCTTTTAGTTTCATGCTATAACCCCTGGAAAAAAATCCTCACATCTAGAGGCCTTCTGTGTCTCCATAAGACAAGTTCCTTCTTTCGTTGTTACCCTGCGAGATCCAAGTGGATAAACAAGGGACTTGCACATCTGCTTTTTGCTACATTTTGTAAGTTCCACAGCTGCTTTCCATTACAGACCACATTTTGCATGGAGGTGATTGCCATGGTGTCAGTAAACAGATAATGGACATGTGCCATTAAGCTGTGTATTTGTAGACACAGGCACTTTTTTCCCCCTCACATGTTTAGTTGTATGCCCCAGGACACGCTGTGTTCAGCTGTCACTGTAATCAATGTTTGGAATGTCTTATTCTACTGTCATTAAGTGTGAACGGCACATAGTTCATTGTAGGACATCTGTTCTGCCATTATAGGCTGTGTGTGGAATTCATTCTGTTGGGGGAAAAAAAACAACAACCCACAAGCTGGTGATATCTTCAGATCTCCAATTGGTGGTGGCATGTTTTCCTGAAGCTCGGAAACTTCACCAAAGGCATTATGTAGGACTAGAAAGCAGGCTGATTGTCACGCTCAGAATGTGAGGGAGGGTTGGCATCCCACACAGACGTCCATTCAGTCTGATTCCTTTATATACACATTTCCACATAATGAGTGAAGAATCTGGACTCAAATTACAGGCTGTCCAGTTTGGATTTGTGTTTTGCAGAAGTAGGAAAAAGACCCAGGTAACTTCACATTACAGTATCTCTGATTTGGTGACTGGAATGGTTTGACCCTTAAACCCCAGAATTTGTCAGCCAGCAACAAGTATTGGTTTTAAAGTAGTCTGACAGCCTTGGCTTCTGTGGGTATAAGAAATGAACGCAAGCTAGCTATGTGTAATTTGTTCTCATTTGCCCAAGTAGAGGGTAATATGCTGGTTCACCCTGTGATTTATTCATCCTAGTTTATGAATATAGTTTAATAAGTCAAGTATCCAATGGTTTCCTTTGTATTTTTATTTATTGACTCTGTCACCCTCTAAGTAGCCGTAATCAAAAGCCAAATTAGAAATATTGTAGCAATTACACCGGAGTAGATCTGTGGGTTGGGCTCCGAGGCGGCAGTTTTCTTCCCAAGGTGTCCACATTTATGAATTATGGGGCCAAGTGCTCCAGACGGTTGGATATAGACTACAGTAAGGTTGGAGGTTAAAATAGTTTGTTGGGGATCTTTTAAAAATATCTGATCACGGAGAATTCTTGAGCAGTGCTTTTCCCCTGCTTCGATAGGTCACTCAGAAGAAGCTCTACTTCCTTTATATGGGGTGGGCTGATGAAATAGCTGCAAAGGGTTGAAGAGCGATACACTAAATTATCCCACTGGTTTGCATCCTTTCCTTTCAAGCGCGCTTGTAAATTGGCTTGGGAAAGGCATTGCTGTTAGCGCTGGCTTGGTGCCAGAGAGAGCTAGGACAGTTGCTGCAAGAACCTTGTGATTCTAGAGCAGTGTTTCTCAACCTTCACACCTTTGGACTTCCACACATCTAGAACAGTGTTTCTCAACCTTTCAGATGTGTGGACTTCAACTCCCAGATTCCCAGCCAGCCTTGCTGGCTGGGAGTTCTGG